CGGTTAAAATGAAAACAATGGTTTCTCACCTCAGTGGCTTAACTCACAAATATTTTTTATGCATGTTAAGATTCTTGGATGGAAGATGGCATAAAAACTCATAATTGAATCATAAATGTTCTTATACCATTAGGTCTTTTAACCCTTCGTCAGATTGTCTTGAGCAAAGTCGACCAGTCTCTTCACACAAAGCCTTCCCTTGACCCAGCAGATGAGTATGCCAAGTATTGCGTGGAGATTTTAGGAATTCCTGCAACTCCAGGTATGTAAACGTAAAACTTAGGGTGCACTGATAAAGATTTTCATGGCCAATGCCAATAGCCAATAATTAACTAATTATATCATCCGAGCCTGATTCAATAACCGATATTTAGTAATAGTGCAAGGCATTTCAAACTACTGACATAAATAAACCTTTTTTGTTTGTTTTTCATTTATAACACACACACACATGCCTCCTGCCTGCTCCCGTCCTTAATAAGGAAGGCAGTGACTGAGTTATTCCCATGCACGTCGCCCCCTCACCCGCGGCTCCTACCCGCAGCCCTGCTCCCTGCACAGCCTATGCTGCCATCCTGGGTAGGCAGGTTGGACCCTTGCATGGACAGTGGCACCAGGTGTGTTTGGAACCCCAGAGCACACCGCTGCCTCAGCGTCAGCAGGTCCCACACAGCCGAGCTCCCACCACTATCAGGGAGAAGTTGCTTTTGCCAAGGCACCCAGTGCCCAGCAGAGCAGAATGTCCCATGCACAGCACCTTATCCCACCCATGCAAAGCTCAACATCTCCACAGCAGCCCTGGCACTCAGGCTCCTGCTGCATGCACAGCATTGCCATGCCAACAGAAGCCGGTAATGGTCCTTTTGTACCTGAGTGCAGCACTCCCTGGCCTCCTCCCTCTGCCACTGCTTGCCAGGACCTGTATTCTGCCGCAGGCTCAAGCTGGTGGCAGGGCATGGGGACCAGACCATGCTTGCCAGGGTGCTCCAGGTACACGGCCATAATTATCAATTACAACAACCAAAAAAAGCCGATAACCAATAACGTCATTTCTCCTTTTATCAGTGCTGATCTGATAGCCAACTGATATATTGGTACACCCCTAGTAACACTTTATGCAGCACACCTGAAAGCTTCAAATAATCATACAGTACCTTTGCAGTAGGTTTTGTCATAGCAAATAAAAGTAATGCTATTCAAAAAAGAAATTCACTTAATGAAACTGAAATAATTACTTTGTAATAAGATTAAAAGGTCCATTAATTTTATTCCATCAGAAAAAAAAATCCTAGTACAGTTGGAGTATATTCCAAACTGGTGCATTAATGTCATCCTAAATCTGCAGCAGTCTTGTGCAGGGATGAATATACATGACTTTAATTGGTTAGTTTCTCTATTTTTTCAGGAACAAGCATGCCAGCTACTTTTGGACATTTAGCAGGTGGCTATGATGGCCAGTACTATGGATACCTCTGGAGTGAAGTTTTTTCCATGGAAATTTTTTATAGCTGCTTTAAACAAGAAGGAATAATGAATCCAAAGGTAAGATTGGAACTTGGTTTTTAAGCACCTTCCAATACTGGAGAATATTTGTACTTCCAAATTAGCTATAATATAGTTTCCAAAACAGGTTTTATTATAATCTGTACAACCAGTTGATTTTAACATCTTAGGCCACATCCACAACAGCAAGGAAAATTGATAACAAATGATTAACATGATAGTAGAAAATCACATGTGGGTTTTTTAGAGCGGTTGTACTTACACAATTCTTAACTAAAGTTATTCAAGAGACAGAGATTTCTAAGGGTGATATATTTTATTGGACCAATTATGTAGTTGGTCCGAGGTTAGGCAGGCTTTGGAACACAAGGCATTCCTTCATCAGGTCTCTGTTCACAGGAAGCCAGGCATAGCTGTGATCAGAGGAAGCCTGGCTTCCTGTGATCAGAGACATGACGAAGAATGCCTAGCCTAATGCCTTGCCTAACTTAATCCCAATGACATAGTCACCCTAATAAATCCTTGCCTTTTGCATAATTTCTGGACCATCATAGCTACAACATCACTCTTACACTACCATAACTAAAGTTAGATATTTTTAACTATTTTACAACACTTGCATAAGGCTTCTAAGTAGTATTGAATTGCTTTCATTTTCTTTCTTATGGCACTGTATGAAAAATGTCTCATCACAAAAGCTAACGTATATTCTGCTTCTGCAAAAAGTACTATGATACTAGCACTTTATCTGTTTCATTTGCTGCTTACCACCCGTCTTAGAAAATTTAATCTATTCAGAGCCTCCCTTTTGCAGCATAATATAAGGTAATTACTCCATGAGACCAGTTCAAGCATTTATGGTTTGGTTTTGAGCATCTTCTCTAAAATGGCTTTGAAGCTTAAATTATATATTTGCTATAGAGTGTGCGTTAACCCCTTTCTGCCCACATGACCTCTTTCATACAGAGCAGGAAGGAAGGACAGTTGTTAGGCAGACCCCTGATTAACCATATTGTCAGCTCAGGCAATATTTTTCTTTTGCAAGGTAATAGTATTTAGGCTGAAGTGAAGTCTGTCTCTCAGTGGTATAAGCTTTAGCCCTTATACAAATTCCAGTCCTGCTTGGATAAATCCCATGTGATTGCTTGCTTTGCCCCACTTGCCCACATCTTGGGGTACAGAAGCTGATTAGGACTTCTCAGGAAGCAGGCTGAGGTCTTGGTCTTCCCCTCCCCTCAGTAACTGGAAATCAGGCTCATAGGAAGAAGAGGAGGAGGGGGAAAAAAGAGCACAAGCCACTCAGGGTCACTCCACTTCCCTGTTCTCTACTTCTAGATTGTTTTCTGTGCTCCTCCCTTCCCTGTCATAGCACTCAACCTGGGAACTGGGGAGAGGGTGAAGAATTCATAGAGCTTTCCCAATTTTTAAGAGGAAGAAGGGCTCCAGTATGTGCCCCATCCCCTACTGCACACACAGCTGTAGCCAAGAAGAGTGAAGGGAGAAGAGTCCTGGGAGGAGCAAGGGTAAAGGTGCATATAACCAGATCTGTTGTAGAGGTTGAGAGGAGCACATTGAGCCAGACTTCCTGTATTACCTAGGGCTTTCATTCTGTTTCTTGGGCTCCCTCCTCACATAGATACAGTTCATTTTCTGAGTGTATTTAAAGGCTAGTTTATGGTTTGGACTATACAAAATCTCACAAACCTCACTTCCCATTTGCTCTGGGATGTCTACATACCACTAAAAATGAAAGCATCTTTTTATTTTTATTTAGGGCTTTTTTCTGTAAATGAGAGGTTTAAAACTGATCCATCTGGCCCTTTATTTAAGCTACTAGTAAATAGATAGTCACTGTGTTTCAACTACATTGACTCCTGGTGCCTTTATCTAGGGAGGCCTGCTGCAAAATTTCTCTATAACTTAGAATAGAGGGAAAAATGGTTTTCACTATAGCATGAGGCATCTTTATTCAGTTGTTCATGTAACTATAGAGGGATTCCCTCTGTATGAGAACTACTTAGAGCAGACCTTTTCTTAAAACAGTCTCATGCCTCAAAATAGATCTGTTTAGCCTGCTGTCCTTTGTTATTGTTCTCCAGAGGTATTGTGGGAAGAACAACTTCCCATAACCAAGGATGTTTTGTCTTTTTTTGCTTGTACATATCATTACACCTAGATTCAAATTTTTCAGAAATTCATGACAAGAAAGAAGGTACTAGCATATTGCAAGAAATGTTTTTTAAAACCTTGGCTTACCTCTTCTTACCTTTTCCTGTCAGAATGAAAGCTCTTTTCCTACCTGAGTAACAATTACAAAAGCTTCAGCTTCAGAGATTGTATTTTTAATGATTGCTTATAAGACTTCTGTGTATAGCTTTAGTAATTGGTAGATTTTTCCATCACTACAAACTGTCTGGAGGAATCTCTATTCTCCCAAGAACTGGGAGATGTGGCTGTTTATAAGGTAGTGGAAGATCTGTTCCACAGACACCACAGGCTGCTGTTATTCAAATTACACTTTAATCTCACAATGGCAAAAGCTCCATACTCTACTAAACTTCAGGAGATTAATACAAATAGTGAAATATAAGCAGTGCTTCATCAAATTTACGCTTCAGCAAGACATCACCCAAAGCAGTTGGTAAGCTTGCGTAGCTGCAATATAGTTTCCAGGGTTTTAAAACTAAAACATTATTGATTTGGTAGCGAGAGTGGGAGTTGCTACCCCTTTTTTCTTTCCAGGGAAGAGAAGCCATAGCTGAATTACATCGTAGATAGCTGTGTAGTAGTTCTCAGTTGCATGGATGATGGGTCTAAGCCAGGGGTTAACCTTTTAGTAGGTGGGCTGAATGAGTGGTGTGAGGCCTGTTTGCAGGCTGGATGAGGCCCTGCACTGCCTCCACTTGGCCTACCACTGGATTGAGCCTCATGCTGCCTCCCTCAGCCCTGCGCTGCCTCTCTTGTCACCATACTGTCAGATTGGGGCCCTGCACTGCCTCCCTCAGCCCTGCACCACATGATTTGGGACCCCACGCTGCACCCTTAGTGTCTGCACCACTCAACTGGAGTCCCGTGCTGCCTCTGCTCAGCCCTGCACTGTAGGATTGTACCCTGAGCCACTTTCATATACTGATCTAGCATGCTGTCCAGCCCTCAGGCCTCCCACTGATGGGAAGTTTGGCAACAAGGGAACAGAAATTGCTGCCACGTCTACACCCCTCCCCTTCTTGCCAAATTTTCAGGTCCATAGGGACCCCTATAGACCAGATGGCATGGCTACACAGGTCAGATCCGACCCATAAACCAAGGTTGAGCATCCCTGGTTTAAACCTTCTCCCTCACAGATCAGTAGAAATAATTTCTACCACTGCCCCAACCTCTCTTGGAATCACTATAGAATACCCATTTACTTGGTCTTTGCTCAGGAAATAGGTTTGAAAGGTGGTTGAAAAACAGGATAATAATGTGCAAGTTTCTTTCAAAGATAACCTCAGAATTTCTGAAATTCAGACCTTAGAATTCAGTCAATAAACAGGATCTTTACATGGTTTCACAAGACAACAATTAGGAAGTTTTGTAGTCCTGCAAATAGATAACACCTTGTCTTATTTTTTTAGTCAGAAGCCAAAGTTATCCTGGAACTACACATGCAGAATAATTATTTCACATCATATCTCAGGGTCCAAAATATGCTGGCAGGGTTTCAGTGTTGTGTCGCCATTATAGTCCAGAAAATATATGGGAGGCAAGGGGTATTTATGACAGGCCAGCTGTGTCATTGAGAGAGAACTTAGGACAGTTGGTCCAGTAAAAGATATCACAGAAAAACCCTTGCTGCTTAAAATATTCTAGGTAGATTCATGGAATGTGAACACAGTAAGACATGTTTAAGTAATCTTCATGGCCTGTTCTTTCAGAATACATCAATTAGTACAGTGTTTTAAAGCAGGTTTGGGCAATTATTTTGGCTGGAAGGCCACTTAATGAGCTTTGGGGACCTGTCGAGGGCCATTCATTTCAGAGGGTGGCTACCCAGTCCACATTCTTCTGTCAGTCCACAGCTCCAGGGCTCTGCCTCAGTTCCTAGATGCCCTCATCCCACACACCCTGGACTTCTCCCATTACTTCCATGGGAGGGCAGATGTAAAATAGAGTCACCTTCTGGAGATGTTCTGTACATCTCCCTATACTTAAATGGAGGTGAGTAGAGTTGTGCCTTTACTTTGCCCATCTCCCTGGGACTTGCACAAAATGTGCCCTTTGCATGGCTAGTTGAATAGCGTTCTGCCGTATAGGGCCACAGGAGATACGGTTCCTCTCCAGAAATTGATGAGTCCTCCCTGTACAAGCACCCTGGTTTGTCTCTCTGATACACATTGGTAGTTGGTTCTCAGTATAGAGGTGGTGTTGGAAGAATAGCATGCTTCCTCCTATGTTCAATGGATTATATTTTCTTTTTTCTATTGATTTGGATACTTTGCAAAAACAGGAAATATTTTTCTGCTTTGTTTTTTTATCAGGCTGGAATGAAATACAGAAATCTTATCTTGAAACCTGGAGGATCTTTGGATGGGATGGATATGCTCTACAATTTCTTGGGGCGTAAACCAAACCAGAAAGCTTTCCTGTTGAGTAAAGGCTTATATATTCAGTAAAACTGCAGATCCTTCACAATGGCATATGAACAGGATGGGAACTTGAAATATAGTTCATGCCACATGATATCACATCATAGGAAAACAAATCACTTTTAGGGTTTTTAATTATTATTATATAAATAATGTGTTTTTAAGTAACAGCTACAAAAGCCAATGCTTTGGAAGAACTAGTTCCAAGATACTGTGTTGAAGTTAAAACATTTTACAGGTTGTTTTTTTATTTGTGAAATGTTGTGAAATGAAAGTGATTGACTGGGAAAAACACACCTTTGAGTCTCTCTTTTTAAAAAAGACATGTTTGGATTATGCTTTGTGAATAAATTTGAACTATTAGAAAGAAATACAATGTCTGCTATTAAGAATCTGATTCGTTTTTATTCTACAGTTTCTATATCATACTTTTAACTTGCTAAATTAAATGTAAACCTTTTTACTATGACTTGAATCTACTTTTCCAGGCACAAGATTCAAAATTAAAACCCATGGGGAGATCTTTTGCTTCTTGGGGTATTGTGAACTTGAGATGTGTGCATGACTTATACCTTTACCTTTTATTCTGATGTATGTTTAACTCTCATTATGTATCATTCAATTTTAAAAATTTGCTCTCTCCTAATTTGACTCGTAGCCCTAAGAACTCTGGGTTGGGAGAAAGAGCCAAGTTCTTTGCAGAATGGTGCAATTGCAATAATTTCAGCTGTTCTATAAAATTGTTCTTACATTAGGAGAAATAATTTATGTCCAAAGTAAGCCATAGGAAGTGAAGAAAGATGGTCCAAAAATGCTAACCATGTGTTCTTATTAGTTATTTTCAGTGTGGCAACCCAAAGATGGTCCAATAAAAATTATGGAAATAATCATTACCTCTAATGATGAAGTGTGTGACTGAAAGCCTGTCCAAAGATTACTTGATAGTTTTCTGCGAGATGGAAAAAAATACTGCACAGTTTACCTAAATAAAACCGTGGGACCATATGCACTTGTGGCTTATTTAGAGCCTGTGTTCTTAATTTTCAAACCAGGCAGTTGTGATATATTACTACATGCCTGTGAACATAGCTTCTTGTTACCAGTTCAGGCTTTTTATAGATTCTGACCAGATCGGTCTAATCGATTAATATTTTTTTTTCTGATTAAATTGAAAAAAACAACACAAATTTGTTTCTTATCAACCCAAGTTTTTTATTATTATTTCTTTTCTTTTTTCCCTTTAAGCTAATTGAAATCAAGTCAGAAAATGTTTTTCAATAATATTTAAGATTTTATTTTATATGAACACTTGTTTCATTTTGATTTTACTTAATTTAAACTGAAGTAAATTTAGTAACAAATGCCATTTCAAAATGACAAATTGACATATTTAATTAGAAAAATATGCTAATTCACAAATTGCTATCAACATGAACCTGTATTTCTTCTGGCAAGAAGATTGCAACTGAAAAATTTCACTTAGTTCAAAGTTGAACGTTCCTTTGCTAGAACAGAAGAAAGTTGAGGCATAAAGGATTTTACAGAGTTCTCCAATGTAGCTGTCTGAGACAGAAAAGGAAGATTTTGAGAGGGAACAAATTGAAGCCACTTCAGCCATGAGGAGACAAAAAAGAAAAATTTCAGTTTGAATATAGATCGTTTCTGAAAAAAATTAAAGGTTACATTTGTATCATTTAAGATTCCCATTTGTAACCCTGGGCGCGACACTACATGCGC